ACCCTTATTCTAAGCTCTGGCTTTTTAATGAGAGAAAAAAAAATACACATATGAACCTTGTCTTCACTAAACTTTAAGACTGCAAATCAGACTTAAAAAAAAAAAAAAAGTTTGAATTATTATAACCAGTGTAAAAGATAACCAACCAAACAAGAATAAATCTAAATAAAAAAAACTATTTTCCTTTTTTAGTGAGTGATTAAACTATTAATTTTGTTAAGAAAAAATCTATTCATTTACCCTGCTTAGACAGTTTTGCTGACTCTGCACTTGTATTATTTTAGCCTTTATTGCATAAAAAAAGCAGGCTGCATGTTTCATTTATAGTTTCTGTGCCTCAGTCATATTGTACTGAGCTGAATCTGCTAAACCTCCTGATTCATGTGATGAGTGCATGTATGATCAGAAGAGTCGTGTGCAGGTTTTTACAGCCACTCTGACTAAGCAGGAACAGAAACACAGTGATCAGATTGACTGCAGCTGTGATCTGAATGTCTCCTCTTTCATCATCCTGATCACATCTGTATGGATGGTTTCGTCTTCGACTATCGCTGCAGTTTTCACAGGGAGGACTTGTCACCTGTCTGACTGACTTATGTCTGCACTGGATACAGAGGAGGAACCGGTCCAGGAGGAAGAGGAGCTTAGCACGGTCCAGAAATAAAAAGGAGTCTATTGAGAGTAAAATATGTGTGAGTGAAGAAAACCAGGGGGGAAGAGAGACTGAGGACTAACATTTGCTCAAAGAGCCAGATATGCAGATTTAACTTAATTAAGCCTGGTCATGTATAACAAAATGTTTATTATTTATCAAACAAATCTAAAGCTTATTTTACATTTAAAATAAACCAATAACATCGCTTCTTTGCTTAAAACTGTTAGTCTTAGAAAACTGCCCCTAACTGTAAAAATACTTCTGTTTGTTAATTTACTACGGACTGAGTGAAATAACTAGACTGTTAGTTGGTTGGTTGCTGCCAACATTCATCATTTAATGTTCGTTTTCTCTAAGCTTTGCTACATTTTTCCAGTAGTATTAAACCGAGCAGTAAAAAAATAACCAAAAGTAGTAGGAGTGTCCTGATCCCCGCTGCATGTGCCGAGGTGAAATCCTGCAAAAACTCAACGTTTGTGGCAGCTTCCCCCAAATGGGGAAAAATAATAAAGAAGAAAGATAAAAAGAAAAGAGGTGATTCACAGGGATACAAACATTATTTTGTCTTCAAGGGATTATTAAGAAAAAAAAAGGAATTGCAGTGGTGCCTTAAAGTCTGTGAACATGTTTGTATTTTTTATACTTGATTAGGAATATTTCAAAAACATTACTGAAATCACAAACTTGCTAGAAGTGCTTTATTTGTTTAGTGTAGACTATTATCCAAGATCTGTGAGAGGCAAAGCACATTAAGCTCAATACTTAGCAGTACAAAATGAAACAATGAATTTTAGTCAAGTGTTTATAATTATCAGTAGAAAGCGGATGGTGACTTCTAAAGGAGTCCTTTTGAAAAAAAAAAATAGTGTGCACGGCTGAGCTGTAAAGAATTAATTGTAAAATGCCCTTTGCAGCCCAAAGTTTAACCGTTTTGCACAGAGGAATAGATTTTAACTCCTCTATTGTGATGTGCAGAGCTCATGAACAGCTTTCTGGTTGCAGAAACAGATGAAGACAAAAAAAGGCTTAAATACTTTTACCCCTCAAAAACATTAGATCGTCTTCTTTAATAAAAAAATTGGTTCTTTGTCAATTTTTACGTCTGAACACCTGATAACTTTAAAGCAAGAGGTAAAGCGAACCCTATAGGGAAGATCACGTGATAACCTGATTCACAAACTTCCTTAGTGGGCAGAAAGACAACACGCAACGTTTGCTTTATGTATAATCATTCTCTGCTTCATGAATGTAAATAAAAAATGGTCCAATCCTGCATTGTGGCTGGATGGTTATCCACTGTTGTCATCATTCTTTGTTAAAATCAGATCTCTCTTGTAAATGAGTCCCCGAGGCTCATTGGGTTTAACCTGTCTAAATAAAGGTTGAATGAATGTGTAAAAAGGTGGGAAAAGAGGAGTAGAATTTCCTGGCACCATCTAAATGCACTTACAGCACGTTATCCTTAGAGAGAGAGAGACTCGTAAAATTACGATTATATTTTATACTTGAAATATTACATTTCAAGTGACTTCGGCCACTCTCTGGTGAAGGATCACAGAGATTTGATCAGATCCTCCCAAACATCAACAACATCCATGTTTGCTCATAATGTTGGGCAGATTCTCAGCGTGTATGGATGCGTGAAAATGAGCACTTCTGTTTACAGACTTGATCTTCCCTATAAAAGCAATTAAAAGAGCTGAGAACAGCCATGATCCCACTGCTAAAACCAAAAAGAGCAAGAACAAGAAGTACTATGAAAGGGTTTCTGCAGTCCAAAAACACCTACGGCGTTATGTTTTGTTTTTTCAGAAAAGTGGAAGTTCACAAACTTTAAGCACCGCTGCATGTTTGTTGGAAAAGTAGCTTAGGGTCAAGGCAGAAGGGACAGTGGGGATAGGATGCACTGTGAGCTTACCGTTAGTCATACCAGGAGAAGGGTGGTCCCTGTCACTCTGTCGGCGTCGGCTGAGATCACGAGAGCCTTGTCTCATCGGCTGAGGTGGCTGGCCCTCCAACATGCTGATGATGTCCAGACGGTCAATGTTCTTAAGGGCTGTGTATAAACTCTCCACTGAAAAAAAAAACACAAAGAAAAACTCAGTTAGACAAGTGTTATAAAGAAGACGAGGACAGGTTTTACATTGAAAACCTAGCATTCCTTGAAGGACTGCACATCACCTACCACTTGTCATGACACAGTTTTAGACTAAGATCATCATAAGTTGAGAAATGACAAATTTGTAGACATATTGTTCTCACCATGAAAACAACATTGGTGTCAATCTTATGCAATATCTCATGCAATCTTACATAATCTGTTAGCACTTTGATTATGTGTTGAGGATTACTCTTATCTACTTTTTTTCTTCTTCTTTCGGCTGCTCCCTGCGTTAGGGGTCGCCACAGCGAACTAAGTTGTACAAAGACTTGGCAGTTATTTTTATGCCGGATGTCGGATGCCCTTCCTGATGCAACCACAGACCACCGAGCTACCACAGCTCTCTGTGTGGAGCAGAGAGCTGCTATCTAGGACACCCAGAGGAGCAGATGGTGGGGGTTAAGGGCCTTGCTCAAGGGCCCAGAGTAGGACGAATGAGGGTGGGGACATGTGTGGGTGCTTCACCTACCCGACACACATTTTTGATGTTGTCAGTACCGGGGCTTGAACCGGCGATCTATCTACTACCACACCAACATTAAGCTCAATATCTGTAAAATTTACTGGGGTGTATCCATTTTTGTCTTGACTAAGGTCTGTTAGCTGTAGTGGCCATATTGAATGGGGTTGACTAATTGTAAATATTATTTTCTGAGAGTTGAAATTTGTCCAGTGGTTAAGGAGAGATTTTGCTAACATTGACTCCAACAATTAATGCCAGTTATTTAAGCAAAGATGTTGCGCAACGTTTGCACTCAAATATGTTTGGGACAAAGTGCAGCTACTACCACACCAAATTTTGGCTCAATATCTGCATAACTTGCTGAGTTATTTTTCATTTTGTGTTTTCTATGGTCAGTTTTCTGTGCTGGCCATCTTTAAATGGATTGCGTTTCAAAGTAAGTCAGTTGTAGATGTCAACAGGGTGATTTTTATTCTAAAAGTTTAGTTAAAATTATTTCAGTGATTCAAAACTTTATCGCCATTTAGACTTTTGCAGCAGGTAATAATAAAAAAATGCATAAAAATTGGGGGTATGAGAGAAATCCATATTAAACTCAGATCGCCGGCACTCACTCTTGGCCCTTTTACCCTCACGAGTGGCCCACAGGTTGAGCAGCGCAGAGCTTTGTTCGAGGAGGGAGTTCGGATTCTCAACACGAATCCTGTTGATCTCATCCACGCTGAGCTGAAGCTCACGTGCCAACTCTGAAGAATGAAAGGGAGGACATTAGGAAAGCAGGGACATTTTTTATTTTTTCCCCAGGACTGGAGACATTTTTCAGATGATACAAAACATTTTACTATGATTGTTCTGAGATAATGTGTCACTGCTATTTTGTGGGTCATAAATTGAAAGGTTTGCGAACCACAAGTCTTGAATGTATCACAGTTTATCACAATGGCTTTAAAGAAAAAGAAACTGCTATGCAAAATATTTACAGCTGTTGGCAGGAGAGCTGTGAATAATTAGCTTGTACGATGTGGTAAATTTGCTCAATCTTTAGAACTGTGCCAAACCTGCTTGTCAGACATGAGATAAACATGAACGGTTCACAGTAAAACAGATTCAGTGTACTTCCACTATTTACTCACCGGCCCAGCTCAGTCCAAGCTGTTCTGCAATCACAGCCATCTTCAGCTCCGTCCTTTCCATGGCACTCATCGATGCTGCAAAAAGTAACGTAAAACTGAAACATCTGAACCGTTAGACATAAAGAGGAGGTATTGATTAAAACTGCATGCACTGTAAAGTCATCAGTGACCCTATTGTGAACCTTACTGTGCCTCATATAATAAAAGAAGCATGTAAATGCATTCAAAAGTGGGAGAATGGAAGCCACATACCCATCGCAGGCTCATTTAAAGCACTGTACCTCTCTCTTAAAGCGAGAGGGGTCAGAGTTCGTCTCCGGTCTTCACTACCGACAATCTGCTAATGGTAAGCAAATAACAGCAAAGTCAAACTCAAGGATGACTGTAATTAATCACACTGCATCTTTGTAACAGCCAACTGTGAAAGCTTTACCTTCATACATGGAGGCATAGTGATGTTAAGGTTACAGAGCACTTGTTGGCTGTCCTCGTATTTGGTGGATTTACGCAGGAAAGATAAAAACCCAGTGGGTTCTTTTGTGCTGTCTCTCACCTTAGATGCACAGATAAATAGTTTAAAGTCATGTAGAACTTTGGCTGATGTAAGAGTGGACAACAACAGTTATTAAACAATCATGCTAACACCTTAACAGAGACAGGAAGTCTGTTATCCCTGAAAGCCTGGAAACTAAAGCATCGCGGCTGCTGAGTGGCCTTCCTCACTGGCACCAGATTCCCTGAACACTCCAGGTGAAGTGGCATTCCCTCCATCACCTGCAAGATATTGCTTAACTCGTCTTTCAAGAAGGCTCAAAGCAATTCTGGCTTTTTACCTGTGTTTGCAGCAAATATTAAGTAATACGTTTGAAGCATTCGGATAAAATAATCCCATAACTGACCTCTATGTCTCGGCTACGAGCCACCTCTGTGAAGTTCTCGTGTTGTTCCAGAGTTTTATCCATCTTATCATCCGTCATGCAGTAGCAGCGCAGACGGCCCTCGCGCAGCTCGTTCATCTTTGCAAACACTACAAACTTGGCCATGTAGGGGACTGCCGACAGCTCTTTGTAGAGCAGGCTGGCGAAGGAGACAGCCTCAGCTGTCCGAGGACAGTCAGCCAGCCAGAATCTGAGGAAAAAAATCACATGGAATTAAACAGTTTACCTTAAATTGATCAAATGTGTATTATCATCTCAATATGAGCAAACCATTACTTGGAGTGCAAAACAGATTATTGTAGTCAAGGCTCCATTTATTCATACATTATCCACAAATAATATATTTTGAGTTAGATGAGCTCTCATTGCACAAAAAGTGCATACTTGAAAATGTGATTTATTGCTATGATCAACATCAGCCACATTGTGCATCCCTACCATAAAGCTATTTTTGCTTGACTTTTTAAATTGGATTTAAACTCCTAAAAGAAATGATCAACAATGAAAAACATGTGAATTCTGTCGTGGAGCACGGAAAATGTGGATTTGTTTTAAAGGTTGCCAGTTGAACTTACCGTGCAGAAACGTTGGTGGTGAAGTTGGCGCACTCATTGGCATAAACGAGCTTGGTAGTGCCTGTGATGTCTTCCCATTGGGCTGAGGCCGTCCCACCTGGCAGTCAGACAGGATGGGAATGGGTCACTGAAAGGAAGTCTCATGATGGCAGACATCTTTCACTCATTTAACTCAATGATTAAGCCTGATAAATGTTCATGTATCGCCCACCCTCCATGCACACATCCTGACTGAAGTTTGCAGTACCTATGACAGAGCAGAGCAGACGCAGACTTGTTGTATCGCCCTCCCCTGAGTCTCGAGGACTATCCCTCCAGGATGGGGGCAGAGGTATGCGCAGGCCAATGGGTCGGTGAAACTTGCGCCGCCGTGGCTCTACAGTGACTACAGGACTAAAGTTTGCTTGGTTACCCAGCAGCTTTGCAACCAGATCGTCTGGAACTGGTTGAGCCTGAGGTTCAAAGCAAATGATTGAGAGAATGTAAAAGGGGCACGGGTCGGGATGAACAGGAAGAAGGTGGAATGAAAATGGGAAAACAATTAAAAGGGGTGATCCGAAGAAGGCCAAAACAAGAATAATTAAAAATGAAAAAAAAAAAGGATAAAAGGTACACTGAATCATTGAGTCATACTTTACATTTTGAAAGACAACAGCAACACAAACAGTTTGCTTTGGTTTATAAATTTGTTTTTTATTGTAATTGCATTAACAAGAAGCTTTTACAATCAATGAAACAAAAGAAATATCAAGTAATAACTGTGGTTTGACAAGGCCATTCTTGACATAACATCTAATATGAATACATATGTTTCTAAGAATAAAAAAAATAAATGTTTTAAAGGGAAAATTGAAAAAAGAAATTGTATTCTGATACAGTTAATATTTTAGCTTGGAAGTTACAGCACGGGTATTAAAATGTTAGTATTATAAATTTAGGTTAACTCAAATTTAATTCATGGTTAACCAAAACATACAGTAAATAGTCAGTTTATTCTAGATTTACTTGTCGTTTTGGTCAACTAAAATAATACCACATTGAAATGACAAGTTTCCATTTGATCTAAGCTCATGAAATGCTCAACAATGAATGTACTGATGGAGGAAATTGGAGTTAAATATTTTGATGAGAGTAGGAATTCTTGCAGCGGGCCAAACTAGAGGAACTATCTTGTTTGGAGAGTGCCACAAAACACATGGAATAAAAAAAGTGTATCCAATGGTAACTCTAAAATTTCACAGTTAGAGTTTAAAGAGATAGTTCAATTTTGTTTAAGTGGGGTTCTGTGGATATACTATAAACAAATAATATCTTACGTTTTGTTGATAGATCTTTAAAGAATCTAAGTTTAGAATTAAAATGTTTAATTCTGATCAACTTGATCAGCCAGCAGAACCAAAAGGGATTGATGCTGTCTTGAAACAACTAGAGTTTCAAGAAATTTAAAGTAGTTCATGTAAATGCTAGTTTATAAACCTTTACACCTCCACCACACATTACACATTTATTCCTGCAGAAATACAACTATATTCTAGCTCAAAATAACTAAGTGCCACAGTTCATTGCCAGGTTTTTAATGATGTCGTTGAAGCACTGAATTCTAAGGATTATTGTGCTGCACTTTACTTAGACCTGTCTAAAGCTTTTGAAACTATGGACCATGACATCTCATATTATACAGGTAAGCTCTCAGAAATTAATTTCTCAGATCACATCATTGGTTGGTTCACCATCAGATCAGCGGCAATATGTTAAACTTAATGCTACTTCTTCCAGTTATCTGCCGGTAACTATTAACAACGGTGTACCACAAGGTTCTGTCTTGGGTCCCACCCTTTTCACAGTCTACATAGGTAATGTAGGTCAGAGCATCCCTGACACATCCTTAAATTTATATGCTGATGATACAGTTGTTTACTGTTGAGCTACAACAATTATTAAGGTTTTCCAGCTTTTGCAATCCACTTTTGACATCATCAGGTCTGATTTGTTCAGTCTCAAACTTGTATTAAACATAGACAAACCCAAAGGGATGCTGTTTTCAAACAGGAAGTCAGTCCCAGCAGCCCTTCCCTCGATGTTATCTCTGAATGGTGTTCCTATTGAGTTTGTTGATTCCTAGAAATATTTGGGTATCTTGGTAGATTCTCATCTCTCTTTTAAGCCCTACGTGGAAAACTTGGTAAAGAAACTGAAAGTAAAACTGGGTTTCTTTTTCGGAAATAGATCTTGTCTAAATCATAATGCTAGGAAATGCATTGTAACTGTGACTTTCCTTCTCTCCATTTAAATCACTTCTTGGTCTGTTGCCTTCATGCATCTCCTCCTACATGTGAGTGCAGCTACAGCGTGCACTCTTAGGACATTATTAGATGACTGATGAAGCCTTCCGGATCGAAGGCGAAACGTTTCAGCACAAAAAAAGAAACTGTCCAGATGACCTGACTGAAAAATGTTGGATTTTATACCTGGATTATTGAGCATGGACTTTGTTATTATTGCATGCAGTGTATCCCCAGTGCTAACTGAACTAGGCAAAAGGGCCTTCTCCTACTCCACTCCTGTATCCTGGAACAATCTGCAAAAAGATCTGAAGCTCTTGACCTTGACCTCTCTGAGTGGCTTCAAACATCTGCTAAGTTCATGGCAAAAACATACGCTGACATGTTCCTGTTTTTAGTATTTTATTTTGTTTTTTAATGTAGCATTTTGTGGGTTTTTTTTAAACATAATTTTCTTCCAGTTATTTTTTTCAATTTATATGCCTTCTTTTAAGATTGTCCACTGATGTCATCATGCCTAGTTAAAAACAGGTCGCTCTTGTAAATGAGTTCTTAAGGCTCAATGAGACTAACCTGTATAAATAAAGATTGAATTGAGTTTGCACTTGCAAATAATCACATAAATCCTTGTGAAAAACTGTGTAACAGAAAACTGATAAGGTTTGTAAACAAATAAAAAGTTTGTATGAACAACTAAGACATTTTCAAGATTTGAGTTGTTTTAAGATAGCAGCACTCTACTTTGGTCTTGGCCTCACCAGTGCTAGTCTTTATCTTCCCAGAATTATACTCTACAGGTAAGATATTACAAATTTATTTACATTTCACAGAGCTAAACATAAAAAAAATCTAAACTATCTTGTAAAATGAAAGTAATTTTTATAAAACTTTATGACATTAAACATTTCTATTGAAAAGACTGAAAAATGTAATTTTATAGGATTGTAGCAGTTTAAACACATGTCGTTCCAAAATGTTACTTTTGTACTTGTACAGTTTAAGTTTTATGTACTTCTGAAGTAAAATGTTGGGGCAGCATCAGACGGTGAGGGCAAAATGATAAATGGAGGTTTGTATTAAGAAAAAAAATTGACTTTCACTGGTTATAAAAAAAAAGTAATAAAATAGTTTCTCTTGTCTTTGGTGTGTTTATCTGAGAAGGTGTGACATGAGGAGTTCATCCAACAAAACATACTATTAGTATATGGGAAAAAAATATGATAAAAAAGTTTGCAGATCAGGTCCTTTTTAAAATAAAGACATTTTAAACATTCTCATATCTTTAAAACATGCATGCAGTCATTCCTGGATGCAAAAACACTGAATGCTACTAATTTATCAGGCTATTAAATGTGTTAGATAAAAATGCACAGGCTTTGTCAGTGACATAAATACATTAGTAAGAAAGGCACAAATAGGTAAAACAAGAACAAAACAAATTAAAGCTGCAAGCAGCGTTGAAGGCCCTCGCAGCGAAGCGCCGCTGCGGCCTCATGGCGACCGCGGGAACTGCAGCGACCCTTCCCGGTCGCCATCGAGAACGCTCACGCTACCGTCACGCGCCCGTTCTCCGGAGTGCGCATTCGCCAAACCTTTGACATAAGCTGCGACCGCATATATAACTATTGTAATAATGTAGGGGGCGCACTTGAGTGAAATATTAAACAACAACACCACTGCGTCCATAATTCCTCACTAGTCAAGCACCAAAAATCTGGTGCAGATCGGACGATATA